AACACTTAAAATTCCTTTTAATTATTGAGACATCAGCTGGTTTCTTTTGTATATGCAGTGTAAAATCTTGTTATTACATCGTTTAGATACAGTTTATCTATAGAGGTAGATACTATTAAAATTAACTTCTGAGTCCATTGTTCGAAAATATCCTTCAATTGTCCAATGTTAAAATATTTTCCTTCATTGTGTAATTATAAAAGGAATTTTAAGTGTTATTCTTATTTAATTGTAATCTTTAGTTTCCTCTAGTTCCCTCTAGTGTCCAGTTTTTAAAATCTTATTTATTATGTAAGATAAGACAACTTACATATTTAAAGCTGGTTGAAATTTATTGCTGAAACTGAACTGATTTAAGTAAAAAATGAGTGAATGGGAAATATTCCCTCTAATTTTGGTACTTAAACTACATATTACATTTTGTTTCTTATCTATCTTTCAGAAAATTATGACATATCTGTTTGATTTTCCACATGGACCAAAGGTAGGTGCAAAGAGACATGCTATTATTGTATTTTTAGACATTATTCATTATCTATTCTTGAATAATTCAGGAATAGAATTCAGTTTTGGTCCTGGGCACTGGGAATATGTGGCAGCTATTTATGTATTTATAAAATTCAGATTGAAAAAGTATTGTGTCAGTTGTCCTAGATTTGTTGTTATAGGCCAGGTGGAAATAAAGGCAGCTTTTTGAAGTTAAATAATAGTAATTGCTACTGAACTATTTAGTTGTGTTTTAATCAGCACTGATTCCTCTTAATGTTAGTTGTTTACTTATTTGCATTTCTATTATAGAAACAGCTTAGATAAAAGGAATAATGGCATATCCTGGATTAATAGATACACAATTAATAGCAATTATATGTTGAATAAATAAGAGATCAGAGTTTAGGCAAAATAATACTTCTACTTAGGATTTATAATGCATATGTTATCATATATCTGAATTAACTAATCACTGGGAAACATAGGAAATATGAATTCTCTAGATGATATTTTCTTAGTATCTTGTCAAGCACTAAAATTAACCAATTGTAGTAGCTGCAGTATCAGACTAGATGTAGTACAGAGTACAGTTAGTGGTGTTTGCTGCAAAACTAGTGTTAGCCAATACCTATATGAATTATTAATATTTGTTTACTTGAACTTTACATGAGATTTGCTTCTATTTTTTTTAAATGTAGCCAGGTATCTCCCATCGACCATGGCAGTCTTATTTCGATCTCATCCTTGTGGATGCACGCAAGCCTCTTTTTTTTGGAGAAGGCACAGTCTTGAGGCAGGTGGATACAGTAAGTCTACATGGAATACATTGTTAAGATTCACCTGGAAGAGGAGACAATATTACTATTTTGCTAAGTAGAATAGGGCGTGAACATCATAGTATAATTTTTCCCCTTTTGAAAATAATTGAATATTTGCCCTTAAGTGTATTTATATCATCCAGTTTTGGGGTAGTAGTGATTAAGGCTTCAGGCTAAAAATGAGGAGACCAGGAGTTTTAGTCCTGTTGGATGACCTTGGGCTTGTTATGTTCTCTCAGCCATGGAAACAGACACTGGCAAGTCATTACTGGAATTTTGCCAGAAAAATGCAGGGATCAGTTCAGGCACCAAAAATATTTTTTAAAAAAAATAACCCCGCAACTATATTTAATAGCAAAATAGCAAAAAGCTGGGGTCAGTTGGTTTGATTAAGAAAACACAGCATAATTTTCAAATAGATCTTTAAGTAGTCTTGTAATCTGTGCTGTCTTTCTGCTATTACATACAATTTAGGAATCCTCGTTTTGCTGAAATCAGTTCCACTGCAATTGCACCTACCTCATTTGTCAGAAGTATAGTACATCAAAGCCAGATCTGTGCTGGAGGTATTTTGGTGCAGGAGGAATTGGTTGTGATCGCCATTTGTACTAATGATACCATTTGGCAGTATAGGTTTGTGCTATTCGCGCTAGTGTTTTCCTGGAATCATTTGTAGGTTACAGAAAACTTGCTGTTGCTGAAATTGTTTTTAACAAAGGTTGAGGCAAGAGTAGGAGATAGTGAAAGAGTGCTAATGATATATAGGTAAATTTTCCATTTTCCATTGAGCTTTCCTATCCCCTCAAGTGGAAAATGGAAGTTGCTCATGAAAAGAACTTTCTCCTTCTTTATAGGTTACTGGCAAGTTGAAGATTGGAACCTACACAGGTCCTTTGCAGCATGGTATAGTCTACTCTGGAGGTAAAACAGAGACAAAGCTGTTTATTTTATCAAGTGCAGAAAGGGATTTTGCTTTTAGTCAGCTTCAGTTAGAGTTTGAAATGGGGTCATATCATCTATAGAGCAAGAGTATTCTCTGTTGATGGAAGCAGAGATTTACGGAGGATAACCTGCTGGGTACAGTTATTTTCCAATTCATTGTATGTAGTCTTTATGGCAGGGACGGACAAACCATGGCTTTTCAGATTTAGCTGAAATATAGCTGCCAGCATCCCTAATCTGTGGCTGTAAATGGACAACAAGAAGAAGAAGCTTGTATCTCCCTCACTTTCACATATCCCTTTTCATGTCTGCTGTTAAGGAATGCATCAGAGAGACCCCAAGGGCCAGGCATTCCAAATCAGATTTGTTTGGATTTTTCAGATTTTGTATACTCCAGAATAAAATATGTGTATCATGCATTGCATCCAGCCTGTGCATTAGGGGAGGGGGAGGGAGAGAGACCTTGAGCTTGCCACTTGGAAGCACTGGGCTGAAAATGAAAACATTCCAATCAGCAAAGCAGAGCAGGCAAGAGTTACATATAAATGTGCTTGACTTCTTCCAGTCACAACTATTTTAGGGAACAGCACATGAAAAGCAAAGAGTTTTCCACCATGACATTTTAGATTTTTGTGAAGGGCAAAAAGCATCACCGCTCCAAAGACTGTCCTCTTTTCTCCTCAGGCTCCTCCGACACAGTATGCGATCTTCTGGGAGCCAAAGGCAAAGACATCTTATATATAGGTGACCATATATTTGGAGACATTTTGAAGTCTAAAAAACGCCAAGGTTGGAGAACGTTTTTAGTGATTCCAGAACTGGCACAGGAACTTCATGTCTGGACAGACAAAAGCTGTGAGTGTTTAATATTCTAATCTCAGATTTGACTGGGTATAGAAAAAATGGAAAAGTACTTGCCTTGTTCCCAATGGATTATTTGCAGTCTACTTATTTGGGTGGATCTGTACATTAGGAAAGAGAAACTTTCCCAGATCATTCTAAAATGTGATATTGACACTTTGTGGAAACTAATTCATTTCCTAATATATTTTGGATTGATATTTGGGAGAAGTTATTTCCTTTGACAATAATGTTGTCAGTTTTTCGAGTAATGCATGAATGCTGCTGACGTTTCTTGTTTTTATTATATTCAAAACATACCCGGCTTTTCCATTAAAATGGAATACAAGACTGCTTTAGGCAACAATTTAAATAAGAAATATGCACTATAAAGACAATTGCCTTTACATTGGAAAGATAAAAACATGAACATAATAGAACAATGAGAGGTCCAAAAATAGGAACTATAATTCTGAGAGGTCCCCAATTGTCTTAGATATTTTCATTTGGTAGCAATAGCAACAGCAGTTAGACTTATATACCGCTTCATAGGGCTTTCAGCCCTCTCTAAGCAGTTTACAGAGTCAGCATATTGCCCCCACAGTCTGGGTCCTCATTTCACCCACCTCGGAAGGATGAAAGGTTGAGTCAACCTTGAGCCGGTGAGATTTGAACCGCCAAACTGCAGATAGCAGTCAGCTGAAGTGGCCTGCAGTACTGCACTCTAACCACTGTGCCACCTTGGCTCAATGGTAGACATTGCAGAAATATTAAAAAGATTGATAGCAAGCAGATTATTCTTTTTAGCCTTGTAATTGTTCCTGCCATTCACAGACTAGAAATGAAGAATAAAAATTGTCATGTATAAACCTTGTTTAAAAAAATGGTGACAATTGTTGTGACAATGGCAGGTGGTTTTCCAAGTAGGATTTCATATTGCCATTATAAAGCAAACATCTGTGCCTCCTGACATTTCTTGTTCTTTTGGTGAAAATAATGCTGCCTGATAGACAGGCCTATTTGCTTCATTGACTTCCAGTTGGAAATGACCTTTACTTTCTCCCTCACTTAGGCCTTTTTGAAGAACTTCAAAGTCTAGACATCTTTTTGGCTGAGCTATACAAGTAAGAATTTTTTTCCATTCACACAGCATAAGCACCTTTTCAGAATCCCATTATAACCTCACCATTTTACAGCGGCTGCATCAATTCAATGACTTCCGGATTTAACATAAAATCTGAAAATGAAGCTATGTGTGAGCCCCAGTCACCTTCCTAAGTCTTTGCTTTCTCCACGTTAGTTTTTAAAACGTCCTTATGGACTTCATTACTGTTTTAAATTTCAACAGGCATTTGGATAGTAGCAGCAATGAACGTCCCGATATCAGTTCCATCCAGAGGCGTATTAAGGTAATGCTCGCCATTTGGTGGTTTTCTTTTCTGCCCCCTTATTAAAACCTCTCTTTTCCAGTTCTTCAGCATGATGTTAAGAGTGAAGTATTCTGCAATGGCCCTACCAGAAGGCTGTTCTACAGGATGTAGGCCATGAGATGAGTGGGGGGGAAAGGAACTAGGAGGAAGCTGGAAGGCCATGGCCACATTTACACATTGATTTTGGCTTTGTATGATATATGACCACATGCCAAGGATCTATACTTTACACCCACCCTATTATGTGTAAACAAGTCTTAAGGAAAAATAATTGTAGAAAAACATTAGAAGAACTAAAAACATGAGAGTGTATGTTATATTGATAAAATTATGTTTGTGCATCAGAGAAAAAGTAAGACTGAACAAGTGGGATGATGGCTAAAGAAAGTAGAAGACAGGGGCAACAATATATGTAAAGCTTGTGGGGAGACTAAACTTTTCTTTGTGTACGCTCTAGTGTTTAGTACTTCCCACCCCATTTTATTTATTCTAAAAATGCCTCCATTGTTGTCCAGCTATATAAACACAAAGCCCTAATGGCCTGCTACTACAAGGAACACTTAATTCATGAACAATATTTCCTAAAAGCTTTTATCTCTACAAGCTTTGGTCCTCTAACTGAATGAGAAGGTTCAAAAGAACAAAGCATTATTTGTAGTCCAGCAGGAACAGGTTTATTCTATGCTTCCAATGACAGCCTTTTTAATAAATAGAATTAGCATCCCCTGAATTAAATGGGGATTCCTTATATAGGAATTAAAGCTCTCACTCCTAGAAATATTTGTTGATCCTGGCAAATGCTTACTAATTTCATTTTCTGATTTTAGAAAGTGACTCATGACATGGATATGTGCTACGGAATGATGGGAAGTTTGTTCCGAAGTGGTTCCCGACAAACGCTCTTTGCTAGTCAAGTGATGCGGTATGCAGATCTGTATGCAGCATCTTTCATCAACCTCTTATATTATCCCTTCAGTTACCTCTTCAGAGCTGCCCACGTGCTGGTAAGTTGAAACACTGATTCGCATTTATTCAGGAAGACAGAATGGTCCAGACATTTTCCTGACTCTTCAAGTTATAGTGTAAAGCATTCTCAACATAAAAAAAGATATAGCCTACTGTATCAGGTAAAATAGCATTGACATTGCATACAGCAAAAGAAAAAATGAGGCTAATCAGTTACCTGTATGATCAGGGTAGATCAATGCGACCGCCTTTCTGAAATAACTCTCCTTTCTGAATTCTGATGAGATAGGCTTGGGGCAGTTTGAAATCCTACTTTTAAGGAGCAGTTCTGACAAATGTTTCCCATGGAGACACATTGACTTGAACCTGAATGCATCTATATCTGACTGATTCATATTAAACAAGGAAGATATATAATATATATTAGATCTACATCCATATCACCTTTATGACCAGTAGAGTGCTTGGGGAAATAATTTGTAAACAGGTGTTGGTAATGGGTCAGTTAGCCCAGTGTTTTCCAACCACTGTGCCGCGGCACACTAGTGTGCCGTGACATAGTGTAAGGTGTGCCGTGGGAAAAACACTTTATATATAGTCAATATAGGCACAGAGTTAAAATTTTTTAACATTTTCTAATGGTGGTGTGCCTCGTGATTTTTTTTCATGAAAAAAGTGTGCCTTTGCACAAAAAGGTTGAAAAACACTGAGTTAGCCTTCCGTAAAGAAAAATTGCAGGCTTTCCTATACAAAGAGTTCCTCACTTAACAACTCTTCCATTTTTGTTATATCAGTAAATATTCACCACTCTAGGATGACAAATTCCTCTGCAGGAGAGACAGATTGTGCCCTGCCTTGTGCTATATTTTAGTTTTGCGAAATGTAAGCAGCTTAATACAATGTTGCTGCATTTTTTGTTTTAATGCATTGTCTTTGCTGTTATAAGCTTCTTTGTGATCTTATATAGAGATGGAAATCCATGTTAGTGTCTGCACATGTAATGCAGCTGATGAGTCACCTAACTTCTCGGAGCACTGAGGGAAAGATACTCTCTTTTCCATTGCAGATGCCACACGAGTCAACAGTGGAGCACACCCATGTGGATATCAATGAGACTGAATCCCCAATGGCTACCCGTAATCGCACTTCAGTGGACTTCAAAGATTCTGACAAACGACATCAGCTCACCAGATCTGTTAGTGAGATTAAACCACCCAATCTCTTCCCTCAAACACCCCAAGAGATTACACATTGCCATGATGAGGATGATGATGAGGAGGAGGAGGAAGAAGAAGAGGAAGAAGAGGAAGAATAGAAAATACTTTCATTAAATGTGGCTATAGCAGGAATTGGCTGATTTCCCCCCAGGTGGGGAATAATACACAAGCAAGCAAACAAAAACTAATCAGGAGCCCTTTATCTTTAGCAAGCTTATTCCTTGCAGTCCTGTTCCAAATATTCAAAGAATGTGCTGGCTGAATTAAGACCACATATAGGTAGCCCAAATGCATCCCCCCCACACACATAAAAAGGAAGGCTTGTTTGTGTATTTCTTAATCCTCTCTGGTTTAAAATAGCCTCTGGCAGGAACGTTTCCATGACCTGCAGTAATCACAGCAATTATAGTTATTTGACCCTTTAGGCGGGAGTCATCTCTCTCTCTACTCAATCCTGAACGTGTAAAAATGGGAGTATTTTCAGGTTTCAGTTCAAGCAAGATCCTCTGTCTTTGCTCTACTGCTTTCCAGCTTCTACTCATTTTTATAAGTTATGATTTATGAAATGATATACCATCTGTTCTTGGATGCCTGATAGGTAGTTTTCTGTGGCTGAAATTTGAAAGCTTTGTCATGCTGATGGAGGCATGTGGTGCCTGTGTTCTGGAACCTTCTAAAATGGATCCTTATGCCATGTGCTTATTCTTTGCCCTGATTATTTCTACTGGGGGAGAACTATGGTTTTTACGCTCAATTTTATGGGAGAGGGGGAAAAAGAGGTTATTTTGTATGCGTGCATGACCCCAGAGAAGACAACTGCTCATATAGTCCAGACAAAGAAAATAACCCCCTTTTCAAAAAGGAAGTTTTATTTGTGCCTCTTTTCATTACCTTATTATTGCTAAAACTTTAGCTCTGTGTCAGAGTGAGATTCTTTTCTTCAGCTAGTAGCCACTCGGCTCACTCCTACAGAGTTGGAATATGTGGCAGCAAATGGTTCCAGAGCCTTTACAAAACAGATGTCCTTGTTGGGCCACTCTGTTTTTACCTCCATTCCAAGAATGAGACTCAATGAAGGTCAGCTTCATAATATCTGTAAAAGGCTCCGAGGGCTTCTTGTCCTTTTAATTAGTTTAGGTTGTTAAATTAAAGCACATTTTCTGATAGTTACTCTCTAGTGCAAGGCTGCCTGGGTTTCTTTTCATATAAACACATCTCTCCCCATTCTGTGCCATTGGTGTATAGAAGACAGAAAAAGAGGCCCTATTTTAAAATATTGCAATTTTTATTTTGAATCATTTAATAGTAATTATATTCCATTATTAAACACATTGAATTGCAAATCAGCAGAATAAGCTGGTACTGCTCTGACAGATCTGCAAATAAAAAAAATGATATTCATAAGCAGCTTTCATGTGTTTCTGAAGATGCAAAAAAAGGTAAAGTGATCAGTGTTAGACTGGCTAACAAAAGTTTCACAAGCAAGTCTAAAGATGATATGTGAATAACATCTAATCCAGGGATAATAACCATTATGAAAAGTACATATGTTTCATGAATTGTACAGCAATTCTGGGATATTCAGCTCCCAATAACTATACCTCATTGCATTCTGCTGTAACTTGATGGCAATGGTGGGCAATTTGAATTTCATCCAGAGGTTAATCTTGGAATAGAGATGAAGACCTACGTCATAATGAGCTGCCTATTATCAGTGGAACCAGAATTGGAAGAGGCTGCCCATAGGCAACAGATCAAGATTGTCTTAGAGTTCCAACAACCCACACTTAACCTGTTGCATTCCTGTTCTGTGTTATTGTGGGTTTCTGCCTTTGTGAACCAACCCTTAGTTGCCCCATCAATAATTTCACCAGGTTGCAGTCATCTTGTCTTAGTTTGGAAAAAGAGCTTTTAACTGCTCTGGTGGTAAGTCGTCAGTTCAACTACTACTTTTATTTCTAAAAGATATTATTTAAAATGGTAGCAAGCATATCCAGCACCCCTTCAAATTTGTCCTCAATACTTCGATAAGAAAGAAGATGATCAAAAGCTGGGAGAATGCTGGAAGGTGGGATTTGTTGCCAGTAGTATCATATACAGAAAAATAATTTAGATCCTCCAGAACAGATTTGAGGAAACCAGAGGGACAGAAAAAAAGAATCCAATTGTGGCAATGGAGACTAATTCATGTAAGTCCAAACATAGCCCATTCTTTGTTCTGGTCTTAAATATAATAACTTATGCCTTCTAGATTTCCTCAGTAAATCTGGATGCAGGTCTCAGTGTCTAAGGCATTCTGGTTGTCCTGAAAAACAGCTGCAGCAAAAATAGTCATTGCATCTAACAGTGATTTGTTGGTGTCCTCCTATTTTATCCCACTAGTACAGAAATGATTGATTGACATGTCACCATGCCATCTCAGTCACATGGAAAGAGCAGTGAAAAGCAATCTACACATATTAGGCAAATATTTTAATATTTTGAGTAGTTTTCACTAAGCATTGTGTATTTGTATTATTTCTCCAGTAAGCTCATATCGTATTGTATTAGTTTTGACTTTCTTTTAGAAGAAAGCAGGAAACAAAATCTGTTTAAAGGGTTCCTACTTTACAGCACAAATTCAGCCAGCAGCTCTTCTGTTAAAGCCACTATAGGTACTGGACATGGTATGGGTGAGGTGTATTTAAATCCTTATATAGCTAGAAAGTTCACCAGATGACATGAACCATTCACATTCAAACACATTTTAACTTACCCCCAAGAAATCGTAAAGATAGGAAAATAAAATAAAATACATTATAGGGAGTATTTAAAGATGATTAGATAGAATCCTATTGAATTGTCAAAATCATAATCTGAATTTCAGTTTCCTTATGTTTTGTGGGGGGGGAGGCTAAATAATAATACCAAAAGACAACTTTGGCAGTCTGAAGACTTTTTTACTTTTGCTATACACTGAGATAATTTAATGTTTGGTTGCTTTATTTGAGTGTGGCATTCTACTAACATTGAGGGATGACTCACTTAAAGTTGAGAAGGAATAATTGTTTTTGGTGTCTTAAAAAAACCTATCAAATGCATAGAAACAACTGAAGTATATGATTAATATTCTCTAGATAGATTTAGATTTAGATAAATACTGGCGCCATTTTTATCTAGATTAAAAATAAATGTAGTATATGTCTTACATAGTAGGAAAGAAAAAATCCATCATCAGCTTGTTCAGTACATAATACTATAACAAAGGGCTTAATTGGACACCCAAATCTTCCATTAATACTAGAAATAAGAATATCACACCATGAGGGAAGGAAAATGGGAAGGCCAGCTTAATATCATCCCAAAGATTTTTTTTTAAAAAAAGACAATGTTTTGCTTCAACCTGAAAACAAATGCCAGCATAATGTTCTCTCCTTTTCTAGCTTGTGACTGTGACCATTAACAAGACTGCAAGTAACCATTCATGAACAACAAAGTCACATCCTGACCAAAGATTTTCGGAAGTCAAACATTCCTTTGGAAGAAGCCTTCCATTCTCCCTGGAACCTACTTTTAGAAAATTACCATCTTGTCCTCTTATTAACAAAAGATGATGCATGGAATGTGAAGGACTCACTTAAAACAAAGAAAGGTCAACAGGAAAAACATATTTATCTAACAGAAATAAACTGCTTTTCAATAAAATTGCAAAATATACAAATAAATCAAGTTCAAAATAAATAGAATAAGTTGTCAACACCACTGAGTAATGGTACACTCCACTGGGATTACAGATTGATTATTAAATGTGTACATTTCACTTGTGCATTTTCAAAAATTATATAAACATAGTATGGAATACTATTAGGGGTATTCCACTTAGAACGCATAGCTACAAGGCAACATTAACAACAAGCCTAGAAAAAGTATATTTTGGAGTGCAGTAATAAATTACGTGAGGAGCCTTTGAATTCTTACCAAAAACGAATCCAACGCTTGGAACTTTATACTTTTGATATACTGTATGATATCTATATAAATCTGCAATTCTGTGCAACATTTATGGGGAGAAAGCTATTATAACTGCATTGGAAAGCTTTTCCTGAGATGGAGTTAAACTTCAATTTATGACCTTAAGTGTAGCTACTGTATTGTAGTTCAGAGGCCCCACAACCCATGGGCTGGGGACTGGCACTGGTCCACGGCGCACCAGAAACTGAGCTGTGTAAACGAGCAAAGCCTCCATCCATGCCCGCACGAGATGCAGGGAGAGTATGAAACCATGTCCCCTGTGGTCCACAGAAAAACCTCTCCATAAAACTGGTCCCAGGGACCCAAAAAGTTGTAGCTCATGAAGAAATACAAATATTTTTGACAAAGAACATTCTGTAGAGATCCAGATAAACCTCTGGAAAAAAACGAAGTATGGAATTAAGAGCTCTAAGCCTATGCACGAAGTATGGTATTCTCCTTTATTGTTATCTTCTCCCTTACAATACCAGTTTAACTCCTAATCTTGAAAATCGTATTGTGATTGTTCTTTCATCAGCTCCTCCAAATCCACAAACAGGTTATTTAGAAATACTACAGCCAGTTAAGAAATGTAAATACAGTGGTAGGATCAAGCCAAGAGTAATTACAGCTAAGAAATAACAATAACCATAAAATGTCAATGTATGAAACAGTACAAATAAGTGGAAGAAATGTACATCATAAATAACAGAACAGTTCTTAGGAACCCCCTATACAATATCTACTCTGTTTCAGTAACAAATCCTACCCGCCTATTGTGCCTTTAGTTGCAGCACCATGTTATTTATAATAGCAAAAATGTGCTATAGATACCCATCAAAAAGTGTACACATTTCCCTTCTTCATCCATGAGCTAACCTAGATGTAGATTGTGCAACTATGCACAATTCTCTGACTTCTAAGCAAAATTAGATAATTTCTAAGGTCAGGTAAGAGACAGCAAAACATCAAGAGGCTCAAGCACTTTCTAGCACCTCATACATTTAAAGATAAATTATTTTAACCCTGTATTCATTCTCCCATCTTTTGAGTTCAAGACTCATTGCTGTAATGTTAATTCAGTCTACATTTATTCTAGGATTAACCAGAAGATGGTTTAGTATCACTCACTTTCTAAAAAGATACGTCATTGCAGCATTACTATAGCAGCTAGAGGGCACTTCTGTGGAAATAATGCTAACTGCCAGAAGTAAGCTAGGAAAAGGATACAGCAAGCATGTAGATCTCAACTGGCTGCTTATTGCAATAACAATTTACATATATTACAGAAAGGAAATGAACTGTAACCAGCAAATCCACCCTATTTTAACCTAGCTTCATCTGCATAACTACTTGTAGCAAAGACTCTTGGGGATAGGTCTCAGAGGAAGCAGTAGATATTGTGAAGCATCTTGTGGTACATAATCCAAAGGAGGCAATAAAGGAATCACTGACTCTGTTCAATGCTGCAAAATAATCTCCCCCTCCCCCAGTTTTTTTGTTTTCATGAAGATGCCCCATTCTAAAGATTACAGAAAATGCTGTACAGAATCCAAGGGCTGAAACAAATATACTTTAATTAATTGAGATATTTTTCTTCTGTAGTAAAATGGAGGGACTGTATTCTGGTACTTAAAATAAATAAGATCATTTTGGCTTAAAAGCAAGAGTATTCATTAAAAGCCAGCTAATCTGATCCCCAAATACAAAGCACAGATTAACTAGAGATTTTCACACAGAGACGTAAGAATGATTCCACTGGACTTTAGAAATAATACATGAATGTGCCTTCTTGTTCAAATGCTGTCTGGTCTCAATTGCGAAAGTCCAAGCACTCGTGCTTTGTTCAGGCCACCACCATCACCACTACCCTTGTCAATTGAGCAAATGTCTGAAAGTGGAATTAAAGCCTTTCTTGCTTGCCAGTTGCCCTTGTTGCCACATCAAAATAGCAAAATACACATCACTTGATGGAAATGTAGTCATTTGGACATGCTGGCCTAATTATAGCTATCTTGTATTAAGAGTTTAATGTTTCTGAGACCCTTTCCGAGAATTCTTTATTACATTTACCTGAGGGACAAGGCATATGTGTGTCTCCATGGTGGATCTAGCAATATTGCTTTTGTCTTATTAGCCCTGAGTATAAAACATAATGTTAATTACTTGTCCTGCATTGTTAATTGACAAATTACATATCTGGGCTGTCTTGATGAATAATTCACACAATAACCACCATGTGAGAGTTGCTCAAAATTACAGAACTGCTTATATATATAAAGGGATTTATTGCTACAAGCAGCCAAAACCATGTAGCCGAAGCTTATTTATATACAGCTCACACTACATGGAACAGACATCTCTACAATTTCAAAGCAGTCTCCAGAGCATTATATAGGGGAACATAATATGATCAGAAAGATCACATCAGAGCATCAAAGTAGAGAAAAAATGTCTTAGTGACCATTGGATCAACTGACATTGTTATTGCTGGATACTATGCTACCTGTTTCCTAAGGCTGCTAGAACAGTGAAAAAATGGCCTGGAATATTATCCACCATATTACCACAAACCCACAGAACTGATTCCTGACACAGAGATATAAAATCTCTGTGCAAGACTTAGTAAGTTTAGAACAATTATACATGAAGAAAATGGAAAAAAAAAGTTATGCTCAAGTACCATTTCTTCACATGCTAGAAGGGTGGTGCTATGTTTCATTTTTATAAACATCAAATGGGGGTATACTGGGGGGGGGGAAGCAGATGATTAATGCTTATGTATCAAAAAACATAAAGGATTTAATACTTAGGTTATACTGTTCTTTGCTTTCATATATGCCAACATATTTCACATGGAATTGGAAATTAACTTTAGCTCCTTAAGAGAAAGCATGCAAAATATTTTGGAAATTAATTATGCAGAGATACGTAATTTGATTTACTGAACTTCATTAAATTGCATAGCCCTAATCTTCAGCCACACTTGGATGATTAATGCTTAAATGTTCAAATGTTGAACAAATGTTCAACGTTGTGATTTAAGTGTCTGGTTAGGTGTCTGGTTAAGATCAGTGAAACTTTGCAAATCTTCTATACCCACAGTATGCAAGCTTAGAGAAGAAACACTTGGGGCTAACTCCAACCACCAAATGAAGTCTTTACGATTATCTCTAAAATCTTACCTCACAAACAAAACATTTCAAGAAATAGTTATCACTTTATGAAGATTTAGCAATCTATTGTCCTAAAAGATATAAGGCATTCACATTAGTAAGTGCAAAACTAATTCACAGGGAGTTGAAGAACTAGTATAAGAAAAAACAAACATGGTTCAAAGGACTATATTTCTCTAAGACTTATACAAAAGCTTAATGACCATTGCTGAGTACAAAATCCCAGAAGAAGAAACAATGAAAACAACATGAGCAGATGGGAGGCCAGGAAGATTTCTGTTAAAACTTTTGTTAAAGTTTTGTCAAAGATTTCAAACTTTTCCTGCCTTGTGGTTTTGAATGGGAAAGGCCCCAAACATTCCAGTCTAAAGTGACTGTGAAAGTCACATGACTTCCCAAAATATATTTGGATATTTTAAAAAATGGATAAAATGATTGGCATAATACAGGAAAAGCAGAATTTAAATAAATTGAGTAATATTCTTAAAGACATGAGTAAATTCAGATAATCCAATGGATGTTAATTTTACACATTACATTTTAATACATGATGCAATCTTGAAGTTTGAACAGGAAAGGAGACCACTCATCAGAAAGTAAAGTCCAACTGTAATGCACATTTTGACAGAGCAGATATAAAGACATCAACTTCTAAAACATTACCTCTTCTTTTGAACTGAGAGCACCTTTAGCTTGGCATTGGCTGGGAAGCCGATATACTACAAATGGCCTGCTACTAATTTCTTCCAGGCACCATTTTTTTTTCAGGGAGAGAGGTCACTCTTAAAATCTAGGCTCTGGACTGGAATACTTAGTCATTCAACTATATATACTGATTTGAAATAATTACAAAATATTGATATATATATTTAAAATATTTAGGAAGTTCTAGAAAATCTTTTCATGACGAACCAGCATAATCATTTGGATATAATCAATTTGAACAATTCAGTATGTGTTATGGGGAACAAAATATGAAAAGAGATATATGAAATACAGACACAAGAAGAATCTATCTTTGTCATAACAGGCCAAATTATAATGCATCATTTTCAACAGCACATTACATTTGAAAATTCAATATTCAAGGGCATTGCATTGTGTAGCCTCTAAAGTAGTTTGTCTGCATTTCATGACAAGCCTGAAAAAAACTAATAGGTTAAAGTATTATGCTAATAAAAAGAAAGTTTCAAATGTCAATCCTATTCAATGGCATACTGTAGAACATGGAGAACAGTGTGCTTCATGGGAATTCAAAAGGTCTTGTGGTCCACAATGAAAAAAAACAGCTCTTTCATATTTACAGATTAAACTGCAAAATAAAAACCACAACCTAAAATAAAATAAATTTCACTTAGGCGCACAACTGTTTGGGGATAGGATATTTGCATAAGCAGAGCTATAGAGAATTTACATAAGGTTCGACTCACATCTGCAAAGAACCAACACATCATCTGCAAAGTATCCATGTAAATTCAGGGTTCCAGTAAGAGCAGGGAAAAAAACAATCAAGGCTCAGGAGGTCATCGTAGCTAACACACCCTGGAGGTCAGCCCTGAATGCTATTCTGCAGAATAGAACCTTTTTATTCATTCAGTAATACTAGATTTTCATGGTCACATTTCTTGTAAGCAGAGAGACTGGCACAGGCAATTCACGATCTCATCAGCAGTGTCAAATGACATTATTTAAATATGTAACTGCAAGGCATTCCTTGGAGAACGCTCCCAAGGTGCCACAAAATAAATTGCAACTTCCTGAGGTGTAGCACGTTCTTCAGGGAACAAAGAAATTTGCCTCTTCATTTTTCATGCCCAAGTGTTGATAAAAATTCTGAACAGCTGATTAAGAACTGGAGGTTAAAAAGAGGACTTCTAAAGAAATAATGTATGGAAAAATAGAAATTCTGTCCCAGTTGTTGAAACACATCCCATCTCTCTTCCAGCCTAGACTCCTCTAACACACACTGACTTTATCTTAAAAGGAATTTTTAAATCTAAGACAAGAGGCTGGCCCAGCAGCATCTACAGGGGCATGTATCTTCTAAAAACAGAGCCTTTGGGAGGATTGACTTTGGCTATCAGCATAGCAGCATTTTTAAATAACAAAAAGGTCAGCTCTCTTAACATATCTTTAACAACAAGTTCTTTGTTGAAAGTAAAGGGCGGCATGACTGACAATACATAGACTCTGAAAATACTCCAAAGTTTAGACATGCACTCAGCAAAGGAGAAGCAGCAAAAAGCGCTACTTATCTCCCAAATAAATAAAATACTATGTGCAATTTTTCAGGACACAAATCTTCCTTTTTTCATATGGTGCCCATGTATTCCACTATTCTTGGACTCAAAACTATGGCCTCTTAAATGACATGTCCTCATGCACAACTCGGAAGGATTAAGGGGCCACTTACTTTTCTCCAGTCTCAAGAGCAACCTGTGTTAAGTTTTTTAAGGATCATTCATATTTTCCCCCAACCATACATTCTACAAATGACAATACTTTGTCATTTTATCTAAGGGGAAAAACAATAAATGAAAGATGGGACCATTGGAACAAAGTCACAAATAATACAGTAGAGTTTAACTGGAATAAATATCCTGCAATATTTACCACTGCAAAATATTTTTTTTAAAAAGATTCATGATATTGCTTGAAAAAATAAACCACAGTTGCATTGACTGTTCAGCATATATTTCAAAGGATTACCAATATAACTGGAAAAAAATAGACCTGATTCTGCTCCACTT